GATGGTACTTTTTAAAAATCCTCATTGGTAGGTCTCCCCAATGTGCTGTTGAATGTATCTCCCATCTTGATAAGATCTAAGTTAGCTGTTACATCAGAGAGAGTCATTAAAATGAATCGTGCAAAAATAGTTGGTATATAGGCCTCCTGTTTCTTACCTTGACAATGAAATGCAGTGAACTGCAGTCATAAAGTATATGCTTGTGTCAAAGCCCAACCAAATGGGGATGGGGCAAGAGATGGGTGGATTTCTGGTTTCAAATACAGCAAGGCTGTACTTAACTGGAAGATTTATTTGATTCTACATTTGTGACATACTGTACATGCATTAATAGTCCAGTTGTTTTCAATGCTTAAAGATATTATTTGAATCTGAGCCAAGAAAGTAGCATATTAATATTTTTAGCAAATTAATTTTTTTCATCTTTTCTCCCTTTGAATATTTAGATTTTGTGTGTATTTAATTGAGTGTATAATGATTTTATGGTATAATGCTCTTCAACATTCCTTTTTGGATGACAAAGGAAGCACACATACATATGCTTGATAAATAGTCAGAGAAATTATCACAAAAATGCCAGTAATCAGGGCTTTGACATTAAGGCATCCGTGTGGTCAGTTTTCATCCCATCATAGAAGGACTGAATTGGGCCCTATTATTGGATATACTTGGAAGCAAGATGAAGAAAATGGAGTTCTGAGGGTTTTTGTTTTCTGTAAATGATGGAACTAGTTTTTACAAGAATACTTTTATTGGAAGCCTACATGAAATGTATTTTTTCTTCTTCCTTCCCCCATTTTATATTGAACTGAACTTCCCACAGTTTTCTGACTTTCTCATTATCAGTTAATGGAAAATAATTTGCCTAGCCTTTCAAGAGGAAATCCATTTTTTGGTTTCTTTGATGTTTCACATCATAATTAAAGTAAGAAGAAAGTGGCAACTTAAATTTAATGACTGATTGACTTGGTGAAAGAAGGATAGGAGCTGATTGATGACATAATATGACACATTTGGTCTGGCAGCTGTGTCATGCTGAACTTCAACAAAATAAGTAATAAATAAGTATGTCACTAAAACTGTGTTTAGAATAGCTCAGACTTTTTATTACTCCATTTCATTATTTAATTTATGATGCATTTTATATAGAGTGACAGAAAGGTAAGAGATTGCAGGAGCAGATGTTAATACCAACAAATTATAGTGTGTGTGAGAGTTTAACAAATTGTCCGTTTTTATAAATTCATTTGGGTGAATGTTTGGGTCTTGAGGAGGACTATAAAGATGCATCTTTCCGGTTGCTTTTTGTCTTTTTCTTGACTTCTTAGAGTGTATTGTCAATCTTCATATGGTATCTGTCTTTATCCTCTTTTTGAGTTGCTCCCTTATAGAGATAAAGACTACCAGTCCAGGTTTCAAGTAGCATATGTACATTTGAAAACCAGCAGTTTGCCACTAAATTTCTGCACGATAATCCTAGCTGGGGGAAGAAGTTCATGGAGCTGCAGATTTCCCATTCTTAATTTAAAGGGAAATTAATGTTTAAATCAAAGGATCTAAAACTTTGGGGGGCTGTTAAAATTACAAATCATGTACATATCTGGGTTCCAAGCAATTGCTTGCTTTATAGTTTTGCATAGTGATATTTCTTTAAGAAATATTGTTCAGAGTTTATTATGAATGATTGTTGTTATGTTGAAATGTGAACTGTATGGACTGTTCCATAACTCTAATCTTTGTATTTAAGCAATATATTTTTTCAATATACATGTTATCCTTTAAGGAGGGATCCTTAACAATTCACAGTACTGAATATACATATGTGTGTATGCATTTTACTAGGCTTATATGCTGCATCAGTTGCAACCAACTGATCTGAGCTGCTTACATTACTAAACTCAGTAATAGGATTAAAACAAATACAGTGATAAAGTATAATCAATTACCTCCTGCCGGAGCAACAAGCAGTGACCCAATAACAATAAGAGCTCTTCTGCAGGATGGAAACAATACAACCCCATCAGACCCCAACGTTTCTGTGAAAAAGCCAAGTTTTTAATGCTTTTTGAGAGCCCAAAGTGGTTGGGGCCAGCCTCATCTCATCTGGAATGCAGTTTCAGAGAAGAGGGGTGTGACTGAGAAGGCCCATTCCTATAGTACCTCCAGATAACATTCAGTGGGGGAAGATCCGTTCCAGATCTTATTGACAGGCAGAAGATTTATTATAGATAGACCTGGCATTCAGTAGTGACAGGCAGAGAACAGGGTAAGCTGGATCCAAGATGGAGGATAGGGAGCCAGAAGTGAGTCCTGGTCTCAGAAGACCAATCCACTTTCCCAGAGAGTGACTCACGCACTGCCTCCTGCCATATCTCCCTCTACCTGTCACTACCTTGATCATCCCTTCTTGTCCACCTCCTTTTGATGTGGCAGTTGTCAACCCTGGCCAAATGTAAAGGCATCACCATTCACAATGTTTTGTCCATCTAAGTGAAAAGGAACTCATGGAACATTTTCAGCTAGAATATACAATATTATCTCTTGTGCCATAAAGCAGGACAATTGAATACAACACATATTTATACTCATTACACCACAAATAATGTTACAATTCTCTTTTTAAATACTTATTTGGAAGGTTTACCACTGCTTCTTATATTAACTAATGTCAGCAGAAAATTGTGATGGACAAATAGCTCTAGAGTGGAGGATGTGTTCAGGCCAGCTTTAGACCAACCAAATTAAAACAAAAACTTTTCTCTTTTACCAAATGGTTATTTTATTGGAATTGTTTGATTTATCCAGAATTACATGAAAAGGCTTGAAGTGTTTTACAGTACTGTAACAAGATATTTTTGCTCAGTTCTTCTACTACAAATAAACTGAACTCCTTAACATAATTTTAAATAATGCATTTCCTTTTTAAGCCTGCAAAGTCTAATGTTTTGCATTGCCTTGCTTTCCACTAATGAGAGCGAGTATTGAAGGCATACAGATTGCTGCCCAGTCTCAATGAATTTGAAATGCTTGGCAATTGAGATGAAATGTAAATCACACAGGAAAAGATCCATAAGGTTGGCTTTCAGGCTCAGAATGATTTCCTTACTTTCACTTGTCTTCTAAAGGTGCTCTGGAGGGCAATAGAGATGAAGGAGCAGCAGCTTAGCAATGTGAATAATGCAGTGTATAATGCATGCAGTCGAGAGGAAGAGCTGCTTATCTATTTATATGTATTTGGGGTACATTGAAGCTTGAAGCACTATACATAGTATTTCCTCCTCCAAGTTTTTTTTCTCCACAGTTGGGATCTCTACTGTCCCATAACCTGATGATGTTACCTAGCCTGGAAACATAATGTCTGCAGGAAAACAGCCAAGCTCAGAGATCACCAAGAACCCAACAGTGCAATTCTAAGTTCTTTATATAATCTCTACTATTTTTGTCAAAACTGAGTGGGTAGGTTTGTCCAGAAGATGATGCATGGCCCTGTAGAAATTTAATTTTTTTTTTCAGAAATTGGTCTAAATTAATCTGAGACTAATTTAGCCCAACTAACCAGCCAAGTCTAAGGTACCTCCAGCAGTAGCAAACAAGTTGCACCTATTAGTTACACTCTTATGGACTCACTAGTAATATATAGCATCAATGAACCCACGGTAGCCCTAACTTCTAAATCAGTGATTCTGAGAAAAGCAGATGATGTGTTCACAGACCCCAGTGAGCAAAATATGAATAGATCACTGGAAGTGAGTCCCCATGTTGTTTGTTCACATTGGGAATCAGGGCCACAACTGCCAAAATTTCAGTGGTATGGACTGAGGGTATGTGATTCTCTCAGACTGATAAAGCCAGACATCTAACAAATGGCATCAGTAAACTGAGGAGAATAGCAGAATTTGAGTGACATGTCTCTATGGATTGCCTGTAGTTTGTAGCCAGCTCTAGGACATCAAAAGTGATGGCACGTTGAGGCCTATCACTGAGACAAAATGGACCACCAATCAAAAGCTGTCTTGCGGCACAGTCCTTAGGGAAAGCTGAAGAAAGAGATAATTGAAAAATGGTTCTTCTTAGTATTCCCAAGAACGGAGGAGGCAGATAACAGAGAATGTCTGTATTTTCCTATTTGGCCAAAGATCATTCCTCTTTTTTTG